ATAGATAAATAGAAGAATATTTAGAAAATTACCAGATTTCATTCACCAGGTGTCATTTTACTTAAGTGCTGTAGACCAGCAGAGCAACAAGGTGTTTCTTCTACCTGAGAACTGCCTTAACAAGTCCCTGAAAAGATCTGACTAATTATAAAATCTAACTTAATAAATCACATAAACCTTTATGCCATCCACATACAATTTCTTTTCGTTTTATAAATGTCCTTTTCCTATGCCCACTTACCAACCACAATAGATATTCTGCCACATGAACTGGTCTGAGCTCTACTAATTCCAGAATTTCAGTCATGAATTTCCATTTCTTCCCATTTCCTCTGTCACAACTGAAATCTTCAGTATTAACTGTTTATTAATGTAAGCATTTAGTTATTGTGCAACCTCTTCTGCCTTCAGGTCACCTGATGCACTACTATTTAAAGTGATATTTTCCAAGATGCTAATTGTGTATTCCTCACTGTAAACTCATTTACTAGGCTTCCTTCATGAAGTTCAAACATTGTAGCATACTTTGATGTATAATCTTGCCTCTATACAGTTTTTTTCATTTCCTGCTTTTACCTCAAACAAATTTTAAACCCTAACACTTTTCCAAAAACACTGCTTATGATTACATCTTTGTGACTTTGTATTTTTTCACTAAAACAACCTTGTCCTATTGTTTTCTATGGAACCCCTTTCCTTAAGACCCCACTCCTATGTCCTGAATTTGTGAACTATTTCTATACCCTTCACTCAAAACAACACCACTATTTCTTTGTTTTCACATCTTATTGTTATAGTTATAAGTTTATAGATCATTTTCATTCACTTGACTATGAACTCTCTAAGGGCAATCTACTCCCAGCATTTAATCTCTAGTGCATAGGAGATACTCAGTACAATGTTTCTTAAATGAATAAAGATCGATTTAAAATAAAAAGAATGAAGATCAATGACAAAAACAATTACTAAGTTTTTCATATTGCCAATTAGAACACAGGACATTTTCTAACTGACACAGTTGTTACATTGTAGTTTTGCTTTTTCAGTGTAGAGCAGCTGTCCAAAATGGTAGCCACCAGTCACATTTTGTTGTTGGGTACTTGAAATATGGCTAGTCCAAGTCAAAATGTGCTGCGACTGTAGAATGTATTCCATATTTCAAAGGCCTAATACAAAAACACTGTGAAATATCTCAATTTTGTATGCTGGATTTCATGACAAAATACTACTTTTGCATATAAGGGTTAAATAAAAGTTAAAATAAATAATATCAATTTTAACTTTCATTTTACTGTTTTTAATGATTACTAATAAATTAAAATTAATCTATGCAGTTCACATTACATTTCTATTGAACAATGATTTTCAAAAAATACAATGACAAACTAGAAAATCACACTGTTGATGTTAATATTAGTCTGAAACAGGGACAGAAGGGTGAACTTCTCTTAATATATATGGAGACAGAGTTGATTTAAAGCTGGGGAC